AATCTGTGTTTGAATACAGACATTTTTTGCTTCTTAAAGGTCTCATGTTCATTGTCTTCACGAGGTTCTAATATCGACCAGATAGTAGCTAGACGACCGTGATAGTTTAGAAAAACCTCGCGCATGCAAAGCGCTTTATGTAGAAACGATGTTAGCTATATGGTGCGTCCATAGCAAACGCATGGATACTGTTTAGCTATCGTACAATAATATCACTATGGAGCGAACGTAAAAAAAACGAAAAACGTCGTTTTTGACACCTAGTCCCGTTGTTAATTCGGAACACTTTAGGTAGCGGCGAAACATTCTCTTTACAGAAGTATGTGTGATTTATGCTTTTATATTCCAGGCGTACTAAGTTTATATATATATATAAATATAGCGCCAATAAGGTCATTCCAAGGACTTGTTTATACCGTAAAAAACGTCAACGAAAAATTAAAAAAAAAAACTCGCGCTATGCAAATTTGCTATTGCAGAAAAAGCAAGGGCAAACGTAGATACCTATATAGGTTCTCTGTAAGTATTCAGTTTTAGGATATTTTTTTGACCCACCCTCGGCCTGGAGTGTCTTACAATCACCGTCTGAGTCAGAAAGGCTTTCAATTGGGCAAGAAGTAACTGTCATAGCCACCTTCCTGTAAATCTACATTTATTATGACTAAGAGTCCATTTTTTCCTTAGAATTGATTTATTTCTATCCATACCTTTGTACTCCGCTTCCATCCGTTATGTACTACAGTAGCTATAGGAAATACATGCCTTTTAACGCATACATGCGCTTACGCTTAGCACCTGTCCCTCGTTCCGTATTTCTCCCTGTTAGCTACCAGTAATTTTTTCGTGTGACAGAAGCATCATCCCAAGAGCAACGAGCATCGGCAGTAAATAATAAGGTACAAATAACTGGCTATTGGTAAAATTTTTCCTGAACAAAACTGTATACTTGATACGTTTTTAGCTCTAAATAATCCCCTCAACCTTGCTTCTGGACCTCCGTTGGTCCTACTATATAGTTTATTTCAGTAATTTAACTTAAGTATTACCTATCCAAAATGCTTTGGGATCGCCTTTTTTCAAGTCTTCAGGAAATTGCAGGGCTCTATCGTCTTACCATTTCCTTTGAAACCGGCCATAATTAGTACTTGTAATAAAGAAAACGTCCGCTGTTTCATGTGTTCATACTTTGTTGTGTATAGTAATGCGTGACGGATCTCGCCCGAATTGGCTGAGGATCACAGCAGCTGGCGAAGAATCTTTTCAAAAAAGTCTTATCAGCACGATATTACATATGCTAGACTAATACGTTCGCACGAGATCACAGTCTACAGCGCCAAATAAGCCATATTTCTTCGTTCGTAGCATGGTAAGCTGATCTTCGAAACGGAGAAGATATATCTTAACGAAATGATTTCAGGTTTATCGGTTGAATTTGCTCGGAGTCGGTCGAATGGAGCTTGGAGACTCCCTTTCATCATATATATACTAGGTGGCACTGTTGGATAACAGAGTCGTTTACTCTGCTCGTATCTAATGTACTCGTAAGTTTAGATTTTATGCTTTCACTTTTTAAGTTACGCTTCTGTCTGGTCTTCGTCTATAAATCTATAAAATAAATGACAGTCTAACTTCACCTGCTTTTTTTCTGGTAAGCTCCTTTGATCTGCTAAAACGCACAATCACTATTTAGATAAACTAGGAAACCCAATACGCTTTTGATTTCCAATGCAAAATTGTGCTGGGTCGAAGGACACAAATGGGATTTGCGGCGAGACTAACCAATGGCCACCTAATATCTCAACTTTCGACAGAGCGCAATGTAGCTTCTCAGCTTTGAGTTAAATATACGTATGTAGCTAAGTAGCATAGAATTAGCACGTGGATCGAAATTGAGCCAAGTTAGCTACTGTGGGGTACGGTGAAAATGTGCTATTTCTTTTACTGCGAATGAAAATTATGATAAAATTTTCCTCAAGTCTCCTAAGCAGTGATCCGTGTTGACCAAATGCGACAGAGGCTCGATAGGGCAACTTTCGTTATGTCCCTAAATATTTATTGGTTCAGCCTTTAATGTGGGCTAGACTGCTATGCACAAGAAAATGAATATCGTAGAAAGGGCATAACTCTTGGCAATTGTGCCACAGTCAATCTAGAACTTAGTGTGCATATGAGTTAGTTCTAATGATAGTAATAATTTGGGGCAACCTGGGTCTTAGACAGGCTGCACTAGTTAATCTAGACTAACTAGCCCCAAAACAAGTCCCTGTTCTCAGTCGTTGTTTCCACATTCTGTTGCTCTCGACTCCGCTGTCCAGACTACGTTAATCTCTAGAAATAGCTTTTTTATAAGCTATTTCTTACTTAAGCAACAAACTTGAAACTCTGATGGCTCGACGAGGAATTAGAGCTTACTAGTGCTCTCCAGTATCACAGATAATACATACAATATACAATATATGCATATTTTTCCTCTGATAAAGGAACCAACATCGCGTTCTTTTTTATGTATTTAATAGTTGACCAGAATGTCACAAAGTTTTCTGGGTCAATATCCTACATTGGCTGGACCAAGTTAAAAGTACGGTGGCGATTAGCTTCTAGGCCTGCTTGTTACAATAAACTAACAGGTCAGTTTTGCAATGTTGATTGCATGCTTAGCTAGAACCCCCCATTAGCAACAGTAGCAGTTGTAAAGATTCTCGTTTCTTTTTTTTACTTGACAGAATGAGAGAAATTTCAGGTTTTTTTTGTGGCCTAGGAGATTCAAGCTTTATCATAGCGTGGTTCAAAGTAACATTTGAACTTTGTAAAAGTTGGCAGTTCTCGGCATCAGTAGTCTCATTAGACAGCTAGCTACAGAATGATAATACATTTGAAGGTCCTACAAGTGGAAGCTGGCAGCATAACATTTCCATTGATCAAGTTTCTGGGTAATCTCACTGTCATTTGTCTTACACCTTTACTATACAATGCATTTAAAAATCTCTTGTACCCTAACCGTCCTTAGTGTAGTGTTATCGTATTTGGATCGTAAAAGTGTGGGTTATAATCGGGCCTGTTGTTATAGAAAAGTTCTGGGCGCTAACATGTGTCTAAGGCGCATAACATAAGAATTTCCACTTTTCGCCTACCCGATTCCATTGTTTTTTTCTTGTAAAAGAAGATAAAAATCCAGCTGAGCGCTGGTCCTTGAGTTCAGGATCAGCCGTTTGTTTTTCGCGCATTGCAACAGTGGAATATAGCAATGCGCAGGAACATTTGCTCTCCGCGATATGTTCAGCACTCGTAATAAAAAAATATGTTAGAAAAACGCGCGGCTAATGTTTGTATGCAGAAAAAGTTCCAAATAATCTCGAGCGATGCCAACAAAGGACACTCATGGTCGAGGTAATATTCGTCACGTTTACTGAAACGCTAGAAAACTTTTTATTTGTTTATCTCATCTTAAATTCTGCAATTTATTCACTGTTGAGCGCTAAGTAGGGCGCGGCATACAAACTGTTAAGGGTCAGCACCTGGTTATGCTTACACACACAGCCGTTTATCCTTTCCAAATCACTATTGGTTCATATAATCTAGTGCAATAAGTCACAGAGGAAAGCTGCCATTTCCGTTCGTCCATGCGTCTCACGTTCTTCCATTAACTTCAGCCGTCGAAAATTGGGGAAAATGTGTTTGTTTCATCTAAAATGAGCTCACTATGAGCCTTTAGCAAGGCTTTCATCAAAGCATTTTCATCAGTTGAACAAAATCCTAAGTTGAGGTGGCAAAAACGTGCTTGACTTATAATCGCTATAATATTTCGGGTAGAAAATAGAAAAAGGTTAGAGAATAAAGTTTACCTACCAAGCTTTACGACGAACTAGACAATCGGCAGGCTCTTTCTATTCCGTTCTAAATAGGATGATAATTTGGCATTTTCTCTATTGTTCTTGACGATAATGAACTTTTCGCTCTCGTTAGATCTAGTACCTGCTTTCTTTGCAGAAGGCATGCGTCCAATCTGTTTGTAATTTATTACCTTTGAATCGTTCAATAAAAACAATGCATAATTGGTAACTGCGACGTTCAATATGTTGGCGTCGCATAAATGAATAGATAAAAGTTACCTTTTGTTTTTCTCAATAAAGCGGATGCAAATATTTTTTAGAGTTTTTTTTTTTAAAACAACAGTTTATGACAACTTTTAGTTCTAATTCATCCGATACCTTTTTTGACGATCTTCAAATAGCCAGTAATATTTATAATGAATTTCAAAAAGTTAACATCGTCGTTTGGCGAACCTTTCAAGCTGACCATCATTCAAGTCATAAAAAAAAAACCGCTTAAGATAATGTGAGTGACTGCAACCGTACTTCAGTTATGCTCAATTCGGAAACAAGCTATTTTTGTCTATGTGGCAATGCAGAACACTTCAACACCACCCTACTATTTCAACATCATAGACAATAAATTGAAACAAACTTAAAGTGTGTTGGACAACGACCAGTGTAATCCTGTATTAAAGCTGCGATCGATTTAGCAATGCACGGCTTTGCAGAGCAGCTGTTTCTCGCGGAAAAATATAGAACTACTGGAGAGTGACCGAGAAAAGCCGTTAGAGGGACCCAGAATTCCCGTCTCCACTGCTACGACAGCACCCCTCAGGCAGCGGCGTCTGGCCAGTTCCGCGGTAACTTTCAAGACGATAAGCTGCTGTTTAGAGGGACGTACAGTATAGAATGTTTAATTTAGCGAACCGCTTGTATTGAATTGATGGAATGGTTCATGCATTACACAGGTGAAATAGTAATTAACGGTTACTAGAACATGTTGGCGGGTGTTGAACTAACATTTCGATATAAAATCTACGTATCTGGCTGGAATTGTGCAAAGGCGCTTTTTCCAACGGCGGGTAAATCAAGTTAAACGTCGTACATGGGCGTGTTCATCGAATGAATTGGTTGAGCCGTACTTTAGACGAGCCTTGAACTGGCATGAGTGTACATATAGGCACTTACTTTCATCTGATCTTGTTCGCCAGCGTATTCCAGACTCTGAAATATATTCCACGAACATCGTTTGCGGATCTCCTGACGCGCTAAGTAACGTCGATACCACCGCTGTATGAGCAAGGCCGCTTTCATTGCTGAAAATTGCAATCAAAGATAAACGCAAATCTGTTGATCTGTTTTGTATGCGGAACTATTTTACCTCGTATTATAGCTGATAGCACTTATTACATATACATACGTTTCACATCTTTCGGGTAATGGGGGCGTATAAAAAGGTGACCTTAACATGGCGTCATTTATTATAGGCTAGATAACGGAACATCTGTGTTCAATCAAGAGATATATTCCTCACTTTAGAATAATGCATAGATTGACATTTGCTTTAGAAAGTGTATCATGTATATTGACATGAGCGTTTCAATTTGTTGATATCTAGTACAGGATATCCTGGTTTGACTTGTGATTCCTAGTTCTGATCTCGGCCTATCCCCAATGCCTGGCAGCGTCAGTACTAAGTGCTTTTTTTCAATACGAACCGTTCCGATTTTCCGCGTAAATGCATTACCTACGCTCGCTTGCAGTGAAAACAATGGTTCCATAGGAAATATAATTACTAACCTAATCAATTAGAAGTGACAGATATGCGAAGGCGTCAATGAAATGAGGCAGGTTATTACTGCGAAAACAGAAGCTAGACCCGATAACGACGAGCAACAAATGTTATTTCCATATTATGGTCTTCACTGTTTTATTGAAACAACTTTTCGACACAGATAATTATTAAATTTGCGAGGTCAAGCACACACATACATAGTAACCAAATTTCATCAACGTGGAAACTTGTTATTAACATAGATCTATGTATGTTTCTTGTTTTACGTTTACAATTGTCCTACGTATGTGGCAGTCGATTCTACATAAAGTTCGTATTGATTTCGTATTTCTACCAGTTTCAATGTCCAACACTAATTGTTCAATATATATCACATCATACAGCCCATGAGCCATCTCACGGCCTGCCGGTTCTTCGCGGTAGCACAATAAACAAATACAAAAAGGTTTGATCAGTCAAGAACTTCCTACATATTCATATTAAGCATCTTTATTGATGACCTATCGTAAATTTGCATGTTTATGTACGTCCAAACTCTAGTATCCGAAACTGGTGTTACCGGCAGGACGCATCAAAGGTATCAACGCCAACTAATGTTTTTATACGAAGTACGCATGCAGCTAGTAACTGACGGAAGATCTACGAAGGATTTTCCGAGCCGTGTATACGTGATGACTCTATAGTCTGTCTGGCATTGAACCCTGAGACTTTCGTCGTGTGAGGTTGCTTCCGTCGCAGTGATTACTACCGCATATTACTTCTTCCTCAACAGGGATTGACTTGTTCTACTTAGCAGAATAATTTACAAAGCATGTAACACGCTTGGCCGATTCCTATCAAATAACAATAGGGGATTACTCTGCTTGAGTTGAAAAACGTTATTGCTAAAAACAAATTATTAATGATTTTTTTTGGCATTACGCAGTACGCACACGATTATTATACATCTCATAGAAGTCAGTTGGTGGAGAAAGCGCAAAAACATAACATACAATAATAAATACGATACATTTATATTTTCAAACTATAATACTGTGTAGGATACAGACGACCCTCCTTTGTTTGTTTCCGTAATGCAAATTTTACATACGTTCGGCAATATCCATTCTGTAATAGTTGTTGATATGCGTGCCTTTTAACTGGCAACGCTTTTTGCTACATACCTTGTGTTGCATGTTTGCATACATTCATATATATTGAACATAGTCGCACTGCAACAATCAATCAAACTCATTTATAGCTGGCAGTCGGTGCAGGAAAGCCTTTCTGCAGACGCAACGGTCCAGCGGTCGCAAGAAATTTTCAAACAAGACGATATCGGCAAATTGCCAACTCACGAAAACAAAAAATAGAGCTTGCTTCACCGATTGTTCTGGCTAAATTGAAAGGGTGTAGTGGGCCGCTAGATTGAGCTGGTACAACTACGTAAATTGCTATTACAGCAACCATTAGCACAGACGGCGCGGCGGAACGCAGTTGGCATGACGATTTAAGTAAATCTGTCGCTGTGAAGTAAATGCATAAAGGTAGTACAACGAAGTAGGTTAGCCTGATGAGAAGCCTAACCGAAAGTGAGTTCTACGAGACCCAAGTTGAATTCTTTACCTGTTGCAATCATGCCTGTATCATTTCCTCAATAGCTGACGGCACTACGAACGGTAGTTCGTGAGCAGTAGCTTTTACATGTAATTGATCTTCAACGTAGATTCCGCGACCACGATACTGCCACTACTTTTTCCCTGACTGTCCCGGTCTGTTGGCAAGGCTTCTGGTGACTATTGGCGAAAGCGGTAAATCCTGACGACTGATCGTGTGAAGGAAACTCGGTTGTGATAAGTATCTTAATCAAACACATTTAAAAACACAAAGACTGGTAGCTTTGTTCGATCACGTTATCAAAAGCTGGCTCCGATGTTGTTTTTAGTCCAGTTATTTTGCTCGATTTTTTACTTCTTCCACTTGATTTTAGATCTTATAGTGTGCACACTGTTCAAGCAATTTGTGTACTAACAGGTACGCGTAGTCAACGTGCTTAATAGCTCACAGTTCGAATATGTGTGACGACTGTGCTTAGCATACTGGAACGACAGTGGTACCTATTTCCAGGACCGCCTTACAGGAAAAGTCAGCGTCTGCAACCCATTCCATCGACGTACCATGTCAACAACTGCACCGTCTTCGCGGTAAAAATTTATTCTACATGTGCCACTGCTGGATAGATATTTGTATAAGCGTCTTCTGAAGTGGTCAAGCTATTTTTCTACCATGATCTTGCCGAAACGCTGCCCAGTTTGCGGTACTATTGTAGTATGTGGAACATACATACACGATCGTGGAATTTCAGCAGTTTCCATCTATAATTTCGCTTTTTGCAGGTGTCATTTTTCCTTGCAAACTCTGTTGCTAGTTTTTTTTTCATTAGCCGAATTAGTCACGGTGTGTCCTAGATGTATAATAATACAAAGGAAGCCCATACTGGTTGGCCGAAACGGAACAGAACATGTCCTAGGTGTGAGGCTTCAAGCAGACAATAGATGAACAAGGCCGTTTAAGATTGTTGCTTGTGCACGTAAACAGAAAGTTCTCGAGTTAATGACATTTGACATAATCGGTTAATAAACAGTGACCTGGGAGGCGTGCATCGTTCATATGAAAAAGTAAGATATCGGTTTATAGTAACGGCTAATAACAATTATAACATATACACTCACACGATATGTGCGTTGTCCTGTCACTGTGAAAACAGAAGTGTGACGTCAACTTACCTAAAAATGTTTGTATCTTATAAAGAAAATCCCGCATAACTTTCACCAGGATGGAATTGATTTTCCTATTCACCCGCACTGATCTTCTGAATCATCACCTGATGCATAATCTCTAGAATCACTATTCTATCTAATGTACGATAACTGTTATGAAGTCTTCTGCGTAGGGTAGGCTGGCAGGAAATCAAGGTCGTTCAAGGGTGTATTTCTCTCTATTGCATTGTTATTGTAGCATACAGACAGATGTGTGGCCTCAATAATAGACGCCTTCAAATCTAGCCAGTCTATTGGCATGCGTTGGATTAATTTCGAAAGTAACTTTTTCCAATTTTTCTTTTACAACAAAAATTTCCAAAAAAAAAACAACATACTACATTTATTTCCTTTGCAGTTTACCAGATCGGTGATCATAGTTACCTGACGGGATCAGCTTGAGACTTCATGAGACAGGCGATCGGAAGCTTATGTAACAGTAGCTAGACGCGAGTCGATGCTAGACGCGTTTACACATACTTACCTAATGTAAGGTTAGCGACCGCGCAATCATTACATCAAAATTCGCTTTCAGCCTCGTTGGTTAAAATCAGCCAGGGTTTATTACTGAGTATCATGGTGCGATTTGGGTCGGTTTTTTTTCAGGTACCCGTTGCCCGAATCAGGAATATAACACTAATGGCGGCTAATGCATAATTATCGCGGTAATAATAAACTACTTACATTCAATTATTGAAGCAAAGGTCATTTTAATATGTAGCAATGTAGATATGGCGTGAATCGCGACTAACTCTAATGATTGAGATATACATGTGGCATACGACGAGAGAAGAGATGCAGCTAACGATGGTCAGCAGTTTGACAGGGTGACGAAAATAGATGGATATACATATGCACAGCAATGTGGGTGAAAACTACATTGTTAACAAATGACTTGACCGTGTCACTCGTCATGTTCTGTATGCACTACGGCACGGCGACTGTGTCGAGTTGGATGTGCTTCGAATATTTCGGTTTTCGGCGCAGTGCATTCTGTCGCACGCTATGAAATCACAAGGGGTGGTTAGGTACTCCATGAGTTCTATTTCGAATTTAGCAATATATTACATTGTGAGAAAAATAGAAGTACAGATACCTGTAGGGCTCTTTCGCGCCGCTTGCTAATAAAATCAACTATCGATTTATAAGTGGCGATAATGTTTAGGTTTTTTTTTTAGCGTCACCTTTGCGAGGCCAACAAGCTAGCCAAGATAAATAGAATAAGACTATTGTTTGTCCGTTTCTTATTGTTTATACAATGAGGTGATCCGGGTTTTTCAGTACTCGTCGATGCTAGCGGCAGAATTTGATCGGTGAGAATTTACTAGACGTTATCGGTTCGGAGTAATGCAACGAATCGTGTAGTTGAGACTCACATACATTGACATATTACCGAAAACAATGTACCTTCTGTGAAGAAGCACATAATGCGAGAAAATAGGTCATGTTTATGTTCGCTTCGTATGTAATTTTTTTTTGAAAATTTCTGGTAATCGCATAAAAAGCGGATTTCTCAAGCGTAACGAATTACTCATTCAGTAGATATTTACGAAATAGAGTGTAAAAAAAAATTACTGAAATGGAATAATGTGCTATCGATTACATTGCGCAGTGGACACCTTTTGAAAATCCACGATGTTTACCACAGTACCTATTTTGTGTGCAGGTACACGTATTCAGGTGAATGTTCTTCTTAATTAGCTAATTTCAATTTTCGCATAAA